TTTAGTGCGTGGTGATAGGCATGGGTGTAGTTTTCATCTTCGGCATGTGGAAAGCCAGTTTTTCCAGCACCATTTATTGAAGAGGCTATCTTTCTTCCAGTGAACTTGTTTGGCCCCTTTGTCAAAGATAAGGTGGCTGAGTGTGTTTGTAGTTGTGTCTGCATCTTCTGATCTGTTCCATTGATCTTCAGGTCTGTTTTTTTTGCCAGTGACATGCTGACTTTATCCCAGTAGCTTTGTAGTATAATTTCAAGTTAGGAATTGTAATGCCTCCTGCCTTTCCTTTGTTTCCCAAGATTGCTTTTGCTATTCTGGGTCTCTTCTGGTTCCAGATGAACTTTAGGAGTGTTTTCTGTAGATCTGTGAGGTATGATAGTGGCATTTTAATTGGGATTGCATTGAATCTGTACAACAATTTTGGGAGTATGGCCATTTCACAATGTTGGTTCTTCCTATCCATGAGCAAGGAATATCTTTCCATTTTCTGAAATCCTCTTTGATCTCTTTTTTCAGAGTACTGTAATTTTCACTGTATAGATCTTTTATTTCTTTTGTTAGATTGATTCCTAAGTATTTCATCTTTTTAGATGCTATTATGAAAGGTGTGGTTTCCCTAATTTCTCTCCCAGTCTGTTTGTTGTTTGTGTACAGGAATGCTATTGATTTTTGAGTGTTGCCTTTGCATCCAGGTATGCTACTGAATTTGATTATTAAATCTATAAGCCTTTTGGTGGAGTTTTTGAGGTCTTCTATGTAGAGTATCACGTCATCTGTGAATAATGATAATTTTACTTCTTCCTTGTCCATCTTTATTCCATTTCTAATTAAATATTTGAAAATGATATTATTAAATATCACAGGGAGATGAGTGGTGATAAGAGGAGGTATAATGAAAATAACCTCAAGACATTAGGTTTATCACAAAATCCTTTTCATGAGTCAGTTAATCTTTTCCATTTTAGTTTCAGGAAGGATATCTGACCCTGTGAAATTAGAAATCGTTTCCTACTTTTGCCCAACTGCTAATGCCAGTGAATATTTGGGTGAACCTTGCCCAAATTTGAGGCTCTGCTGACCATGGAGGAATCTCTGAGTAATTGCTCCCGAAACCTTAGCACGGCTGTTTCTGGAGAGAGAAGAGTGGGGGCCAGATTTCTTGGATGAGCTGCAGTCAGTTTTCTGAGGATGTGGTTGATCCCCAAAATACACAGCTGATTTGTAAAAGATGAGGCAGACAGCAGCTGCCTGGGGGATGACATATTAAGGACTGAGGTCAATAACTGACTTCGGCTCATTTGAGCACATCTCACTGGTGTGAACCAAAAAAGCCTGTGTGAAGCTGTAAGCCATGCAAAAGCCCCTGTTGATGCTATTTGAACTTTCAGACAGAAGAGGTTAAGACAAAAATCTTACAATATAGACTCTTTCTTTGCATTGGCTGAAAAGAAGGGGAGTTGGAACTGTTCCTTCTGCTGGCACCAGTTCTGATCCTACGATTTAGCCATTATTTTTAGTTTAACAGACCCCAGTAGGGATGGAGATTTTATGTATATGTATTTCTTGTAGAACAGGCAGAGGAGAATTATCTTCACGGTCTTTGAGTCTCTGGAAGCCAATAAATCACAGAGCTCCGGCGTGTCTGTCTCCTTCTCAAAGCTTCTGCAAGATCATGCGTTATTTCATAGGACTGGAATGTGACAGAATCTATTTTGAATCTTCCAATGATTCCTCCACTTAGCCTTTCTGAGAACCAGGGTTCAGAAGAATTTGTACAACTGGGAGTCACCCGCAGTTCACTAGGTTTTTGCAGGGCTGGTTTCAAAGCCGTCAGTGTCTTCCTTGGGGCCATGTGCAGGCCCCACTGTGCTCCAGGAGAATGAAACCCTTGTGCTGAGAAGTTCTCTACGAGCGGCCTGGACGGGGCTCCGTCAGGTGATGCAGTAAAATGTCTGTGGCTAAACGACTTTTTGAGCACTTAAATAATGGAACTATTTTAGTGAACTAAACAAACTCTAATTAGTGAAAGTCTCTACTGATATGGAAAACATTCGCTTCCAATGAAACTAGCAAGACTGGGCTCTCACGCAAATGAATGTACTGCCCTAACTCATTAGAAAACGCTGCAGCTGAAAGCTCTGACCATCTTTCCTCTAGCTCCTTCCCCATAAGCTGGTTTGCTCAGACACTTCGCACGTGTACGCGACCCACTCAGGAACTGCTTTTGGTATCTACTATTTCAAATTCTAGGCTGCCATGTTGACCCTGAAGTGTGTGTGTGTGTGTGTTAAAAACATAAAGTTTGTCATTTTAACCATTTTAAGTGTATACTCCAGAAGCAGTACGTATATTCACACTGTCATACAACAATCGCCACAATCTCCAGAAGTCTTTCACCGTCCCAAATTGAGACCTCGTGTCCATTAAGCAGGAGCTTCCCGTTCTTTCCTCTAGCCGGCCCCAGCGATCACTGCTCTACCTTATGAATCTGACTACGTGAGTTCCCTCACGCAGTCATTCAGTGTTTGTTCTTCTGGTAGCTGCCTTACTTCACTTAGTATAACGCTGGCAAGTTTCGTTCATGTTGTAGCATGTTTTAGAATTTCCTTCCATTTAAAGGAAGGAAATGGTGTTCTGTTTTATGTATATGCCTACCTTGTTTATCCATCCATCCATCCCCACTTGGTTGCTTTTATCTTTTGTTATGCAAAATGTTGTAGAACAGGCAGAGGAGAATTTTGAATACATACAAATATATTTTGAAACCTCGTTTTCAAATCCTTTGCTGTGTACATCCAGAGGAAGAACCGCGGATTACGCAGGAACTCTATTTCTCCCTTTTGGAGGGATTGTTGTGCTGTTTGACATGACAGCCACACCATTTCGCATTCCTGCTGGAAGTGCACGAGGAGTCCGGTCTCTCCACATCTCTGCCAACAGCTGTTATGTTGCTGTTTTTTTTAAATAATAATTATCCTGTTGGAGGTGAAGTGGCCTCCATTTGTGACTGTGATTTTCATTTCTCTAGTGATTAGATGTTGAGCGTGTATTTACTGGCTATTTATCTTTGAGAATGTCTGCTCCAGTCACATGACCACTCTTCTTTGTTAATTCTTATTCTTATTAGTACATGTTTGCAATATGTAATCATTGCATTCATTATGGGATTTGGCACATGTATATAACACACCCTAATTCTTTCTGTTTCCCTTTTTTCCCCGTTCTTCCTTATGTCTGTTGTTTTACTGGGTGTTTTATTATTTTGGTGTTAGGTTGCAGACATTTTAAAAAATGTGTTCTGGATATTAACCTTTTTCCAGATATATGATTTGTGACTATTTTCTCCTATTCTGTGGGTTCCTTTTCCACTGTTTACAATGTCCTTTTAAAAAATGTCACATTTCGGAAGCAAAGGATTTATTTGAGGTTTTAATTGTTGCTATTTTATTTTAAAAGTCTCCTTTTCAGTCATGCAGAAGTCAAAAGTGTTGCTATGATGACTGCTTTTATGATGAAGATTGAGTAACTCACCTTTGAAAAAGTTTATGGAAACTTAGACTATCCACTGGGAAAAATGAGTTTTTTGTTACAGTACTAATTTTGCTTTTGTGACGTGACTTTAAAGAATATTGAACTGGAGTTCACCGGCAACTGAAACGAGTGGGGTGTGAAGTGGAAATCTCTCTAGTGCAATTTATAAGCAACATATTTTTCACAAAAGTCTACAGAGAACTATCTCTGCGATTGTCATATGGGTCCAGGACTCTTCCATGTCATTTGTTCTGACGTTGAAATGTTCACTGCTAACGTTCACTCATCGTGTGAGACAGGTGCTGTTATTTCCTTTTGCACCTTCGGTTTAGTGAGAAACAACTTGTTCCATGTCACATGGTTGGTAGGAAGAATTCATTCAGTTTAATGAAACAGAAATTTTAAATTCAATTCGGATTTTAAGAATATAAACTCTTAAAGGGGATCAGATTGTAAATTTAAGTAGTATAAGCGATGTTATATTATTTGTCATCGAGGAAATACTACTCATTTCATGTATTTTTTCACTTTTAAAGTAAGTGGTAGCTCTGTTTGGGGACTGCAGAGTGACGACAGTGACTCTTATTTTGAGTATCTTACATAATTTTTGGTGGCATAATTTCTGTTTGCTCAGAACAAGATCTTATACAGTATGTAAAAAAATTCATAACAAAGGGGGTCCTATAGCCTTTGGCCACCACAGAATGACATCGTTTTTATGTTTACCAAAGGGAATGAGGTACAGTGTGTATCTTACTTTCTTGAACCAGTAGAACCTACTTTGTTGGGAGTGCTGATAGTGTCTTTGCTACACAAAATTTAAAATTTTCATGAGGTCAAATTTGTCTAGTTTTTCTTTCATTGCTCGTATCTTTACTGTCCTGTCCAAGAAACCACTGTCACATCCCACACTGTGAAGCTTTTACTTGATGTTTTCTAAGAGCCTTACAGTTTTGGGTCTTACCTTTGGATCTTTGGTCACTGTAAGGTAATTGCTAGATGCGGTGTAAGGTATGCGGGTCCATCTTCCTTCTCCTCCTCCTCCTTCTCCTTCTTGTACTTCTCGTTATTTTTTGCATGTGGAGATAGAGAACCACTTATTGAAAACACTGTTCTTCCCCTGGTGAACAGTCTTGGTATCTGCTGCAGATCATCGGACAGTGTATAGGAGAGCGTTTACACACGGGCCGCACTCTCTTCAGCGGTCTGTGTCTGTCATGATACCACAGCCTTTTAGTTGCCTTTTAGTTTTGTAGTAAGCTCTGAAATCAGCGGTGCGAGACCTCCAAATCTGTTCTTTTTCCAAATTGTTTTGGTTATTTGGGGTTCCTTGAGATTCCATAAAAATTTAGGGTGAATTTTTTTACTTCTGCCAAAAGAGTCATGGAGGTGCTCGAAAGGATTGCTTCGACTCCGTGGATCACTTTGAATAGTGTACGTTTTAACAATACTGTGTCTTTCAGTACATAAACGTGACGTGAGGAGAGGGCCCATTAGCAGACCCCTCCCTGGAGATGTGACCGGAAGGTGCACGCGTCTCCTGCTCCCGCCCCGCCCCGGGCCTTGCGCTTCCTGGGGCCGCGGCGTGGCCAGCGTTCCTCCGCGGCAGGCCCCACCACTCTGAGGTTTCCTCAGCTGAGCCTGGTGACCATGGACTGAAATTTCTGAAACTGTGAGTCAAAATGAACCTCTTTTCATTTCCATTGTGGGTGTTGGCTGTAGGTGAAGTCTTTAGCTTTCTCTCTATGTAATATCTTGTCATCTGCAAACAGAAGTAATTTTACTTTTTCCTTTCCCACTTCGATAGCTTTTATTCATTTTTTACTGACAAATTGGTTCTGACTAGTTGTACCTTCCAGTGCTTTGTTAAACAGAAGCTGTGAAAATGGGTATTTTTGTCTTCTTTTCTTAGAGGAAACATTTTTTCCATGAAAGAGACTGAACTTTTTTCTTTTCTTTTGGTTTTTTTGAGACTCACTATGTAGCCTAGGATGGCTTTGAATAGCAATTCTCCTGCCTCAGCCTTCCAAGTGTGGGGATTACAGGCGTGTGCCACCACGCCTGGGTTGAGATTGCAACTCTTTTGCATGAATTGAGATTATCATGGATTTTGTAACTAGGGGAATGGCTCTGAGTTCTAGGCCAACAAGATATTGGGAAGAGCTTTAGCAACTTAGAAACAGTATTGTTCCGTAGAACCCTGTTCCCTTCTGGGATTCTTGGTAAGGCCGAAGCCTCTTGGCAGAGCAGTCAGCCCTGGGTACTGTCCTTCCCCGCCTGGAGAGGGTTTCGTGAAGCCCAGCAGGAGCGGCCTGTAACACTCCTTTCTTTCTTGCTAACAACTGGAGGGAAAAGTCAATCTGGACTAATCCGTGAATAAGAGCCATTTTGTTATGGACTAAATTTACTTTCATTTTATTCTTTTTAATGATAGTAAAGTTGGCCTTGTTTTGGTATACAGTTTAATGAATAAACACATGTGCAGGTTGATAGAGCCACCAGCACAATCAGGATATTCAAGTCCATCATTCAAAAAAACATATATTAACCCTTTCTTCTTATGCCTACCTCTTCCCTGGAAGCCCTGGCAACTATTACTGGTATTTTTCGTTGCTCTAGTTGTACCTGTTTGAGAATTTTAAACCTCGGGTAACACATTATATCTGTGGCTAAAAGCTGAAGTATGAGTGATGACTCTGCCAGACACTGCTCTGAGCAACACACTTCCTCTTCTGCAGAGCTGTCCTGAATTGTGAAATCCGGTGTCCTCTTTTTACAGTAGGACATCTTAAGCACAGACTGATACATGAGCTCCAGAACACTAGTCTCTGAACTTGTTTCTACCTTCTGGTAAGAAATGGTATTAGCAGATTATAAGGCTAACCACTGAGGATTTAGATCACACTACTAGCACCTGGGCCATACAACACACTAGCAAGGGAGAGTCTCATCTGTATAATGGGTGGGCATCCACGTAGTGCCGTCTACACAGGAAGGGCAGTACGGAGGAAACACATCAAGCTAGAAATGGAAAGATTGCAGAAAATGTGGTTGCAGACCGAATATAAACTATGTTTTGTTCTCACTGCAGGAGTCAATGAATTAATTTTCTGGTCTGTTAAATGAAACCCATCTGGTACAATAAAATGGAAATATTCGTACTATATCTATTATAATGCTTTTGGCTACAAGTTAACAGAAAATCCAGCTAAGAATAATTGAAATAATAAGGGTATTTATTGCCTCACATAAAAAGATCTCTAGGGCTGAATCAGTGATCTCAACAATGTCGTGAAAAATTCAGTTCTTCCTATCCTCTGTCCTCTGTTTTCAGTATGAAAACTTTTGGCCTTCAATTTTTCCCCTTTTATTTGCAAGATGGCTGCACAGCTCCAGCCATCACGCCCACATACAATTGCACCACTTTGTAGGAAGCAGAGGGCTGCTGATGTGACAAGAGCTCAGTCTCATGTGTACTGTTTCCTTTCCTTCTCCTCTTTCTTTTGCTTGGAGGAAACCCTTTACCCAAACTGCCGCAGCGGACTTGCTCTCACTGCCCTCCATCAGCACTCGGCCCCTTGCTCACTCACCGATGTGGAGGTAAAGCGTACATCTAGCACTCTGGCTAGCAAGGGAGACACGAGCTTGCGCAGGAGGCGAGAGGACGTAACCCCTGGAAGGTAACACAGCTGCCTCCCCCCGCGTTGTAAGAACTAAATACAGCAGTACAGACAAGGCGCAAAAAAGGCTCAGTGCTTACCAGTTTTGTTTCATTTCTCTCCTCCCTTTCAGGTTCCCTCTCTCATTTTTCACATTTGAAAGCAATGGAGAGGTCCGAGAGAATGGCTCGCCCCTGCTGTGCGAAGGCGCGGCTCGTGTCCTCCACGCTGACCTGCTCTTCGGGGCTCCGGAGCTCTGCTTTGCACAGACTACTGGCATCTGCTCGCCTTTTTAAGAAAGCCCTAGACTTCGACCGAGTAATACATTTTCATGGCTGGCCTATATATGTCAGCCATGAACAAAAGCCTGGGAAATCCTTTTAATAAGAGGGAAAAATCAAATGTGCGCTGTTGTCACACTGACAATCGTGTTTCGGTGCAGCGGAGCTCTTCCCGTGCAGAAAGGGAGCAAGAGGCGCCTCCGCGGCCGAGCCTCCCGTCCTCTCCCGGCGAGCGGCTCTGCGGCTCTGCGGCCCAAATCTCGCTCTGTCGCCTGCCTCTCTTCTAGTCATTTTACCAGGCGCTCGCCCAGGTGGGAAGGGCGGAGGTCTGTGGAGGTGCGGGCCCGGGCCCCGAACGCGTGCAGCTGGGCGCGCCGGGAGGAGGGACCCCGCCGCCCCTGGGGAGCCTGCCCCTCGCGCGGCCGGGACGACCAGCGCCCCGGGAGGGCGCCGGGCAGGCGGGAGAGCCGCCCGCCCGTCCGCTCAGCGTGGGGAGGGCGCGGGCGGGGGTGCAGGACAGGAAGGCCCGCGTGAGGCCGGGGCCCCGCGGCTGACGTCCTCGGCGGAGTGAATTTGTCAGAGGCCTCAGGCTGTCTGCGTAGATCTCACGCAAAGGCCGGCTCTGTGCTCCTGCTCGCTCGGTCGCCTCCTCCCACTCACCCCGAGCCTCACGGCTCGGAGGTCCCACGCGCCCACACCCCTGCACCCGAGCGTGCACCCAGCGCTCGCTCACTCGTGCTTCTTCTCGTGGTCCCGCACTCCCTGCCCTCTCCGCTCTCCGCGTTACTGCAGGGGTGGGAGGAAGAACTGGAGCAGCCCCCACTCCCTCCATGCTTCCGCCAGGCGGTTCTAAAACCCCAAGGATGAACCAGGTGTAGCGGGGGGCGCCTGTAGTTCCACTCAGGAGGCTGAGGCAGGAGGAGAACGTGAGTTCAGGGATTTGAGACTAGCGTGAACAGCATAGTCAGACCTCATCTGAAAAACAGAACAAATTTAAGAAAAAGACAAAATAAACACACAGATGAAGAATTAGAAAAAGAAGAGATGATTGGGGCTGGGGGTGGAGGGGTCAGATAGGAGAGAAAGAAAATCAGAAAAGTCAGATTAATGATGGATTGTGATGCCCTTCCCCTGCCAGGACCAAGGAGGATGGCTTCTACACTGCACAGCAAGGTGAGGGTCCTGGGAAGGCAAACTGCGTGGGAGGTGCTGGCTTGGGGCGGAGCAGCAGAAGAAAACCTACGCAGACTACTCTCTGGCATAAGTGCTGGCCGCTGGCTTGTCTCAGTTGTTTCTTGTGAATATGACTTGTGTTTCTGTGTAGGTCCTTTCCATTGAGCCAATTCTAGCGCAAAGTGAAAAGAACGGCGCTGTTTTGGGACACTGCTTGGCTGCGAGTTGAACATAGACGGTTAACTTTATACGCCAGCTTGCCTGGGTCATGGGGTGCCAAGATAGTTGGTTAAACACTGTTGTGGACGTGGAGTAAAGCAGGTTGTCCTCCCTGATGCCTGAACAGAACCGAAGGCTGACCTCCTCCTAAACAGAGGGGGCTCCAGCACGCTGTTTTAGGCTTTATCTGCAACATCAGCTCTTCTGGTTTCCGGCAGAACGCCTGAGGGCTTTAAATGCAGCTCTTTCTTGAGCAGGCCTTACCCATCGGATTTTAGACCGGCAAGCGTCACAGTCACGTGACCTTTATAAATACATCTACCTGTTGGCCTATTTATCACACACACACACAACCTGATCCTTCTGACAAATTCACTCTGTGTGACCCGGGTACACACACACACCCTGTTTGTTCAATTTCTGTAGAACACTCACACCGCATCCTGTACGTGGACACAGGAGCTTGAGACACAGCAAATGTGTTTGTGTCTTTCCTAATCAACACGTTAACTAAGGAGTGTGGACCAAAGGACCAAGAACCCAACACCTCAAGGCAGCGGGCCTGGTTCGCGCATGAATTCTATCACTTCCTCGCACTCTGCATGTACTGCTGAAACAACATACACTGATTGTCTCACACTTCTGGATGTCAAGTCAAGAGCCTGGCTGGGCTTCTGAAAGCTTCAGGGGAGTCTGTCCTTGATCCCTTTAGCGTTCAGGCTGTCTGCATATTTGGGTCACAGCTCCTCCGCCCATCACTCCGACCCCCTGCTTCTGTCGTCACACGCACTACTTCCTGATCTCCTGCTTCCCTCTGACAAGGACCTTTGTGCTTGCCCCGGGCTCCCCCAGACAGTCCAGGATAATGGCGTCATATCAGTACCCTTCAGCACTTACACGGAGTCTTCTTCGATATAATGTGGTACTGTGTACAGGTTCCGGTGATTTGAATATGGATGTCTTTGGTGATGATGGATGTCTTAGTTAATTTTCTCGTTGCTGAGACAAAGTATCCGACACCCAAAGTTAAAGGAGGAAAGCTTTATTTGGATCACAGTCCACAGAGGGTTCAGTCCATAGCTGGCGGACTCCCAGGGAGGGTGGTGTGGCTGAGGAGAAACAGTCCATGGCAAAGCAGGGAAGGCAGAAGGCAGCAAGCAGCAAGCAAGCAACTAGTGACAAACAAGCAGCAAGGAGTAGCAAGCAAGCAACTAGCCCTCTTTCTGTCTCTTACATTTTATCTAGGCTTCCTGCCCTTAGGCGGGTAGCACTCACACCCTTCATCCTAGCATCACATCCTTCATCCCAGCATCACACACCCTATATCCAGCCACCTCCAAAAAGCTCCACCTATGGTTACATGAGGGAACATCTAGATACAAGCCATAGCAATGGGACATTATTTAGCCTGCCATAGCTGGTCACCACAGGTAACTGGTTATAGATGAGAGCTGAGGTGTGGAAGGAAGATTTCAGGGCTGGTAGCTGAACCACGTCATGTTTTGCAAAACACTTTATTACTTGGTGAATGCAGAAATTTGCAATAAAGAAATGCTTTCTTGGTTCTAAAGAGACAAACTTATCGGTACTGTAGTTTATTGTTCACAATGGCAATTCTGTTCTTAGAATCATTATAAAGAAAGGCATCTTCTACCTCAAAAATTAATATAAAATGTTTTCAAAGTATATTATGGTTGGGGCTGGGGATGTAGCTCAGTGGTAGAGCACATGCCTAGCATGTGCAAAGCCAGGGGTTGAATTTCTAGCACCAGAGAAAAAAGTTTAGTATTGTAGTCATCTGGGGACACAAATCTTTGGGCCCTGGCCTGTTTACTAAGCCTTCCGTTCTAGTTTCCTATAAGTGACTTTGGCAGGAATTAAAAAGTCTTAAGATAGAATTTGAGGGGCTCCCTCAACCCATATAATTCAGGTATCATAAATCCATGTCATCACTTGTATTCTAGAGTATGACTTCCCAGTATAAGTTCTACAATTGTTTGGTACCTTCAACATGCTGAACAAAATTTTTGAAAATCAGTAACTTTCAGTGAACCTCCCACTCCAGGCCACAAGCTCAGGGGCACAAGCACCTGCCTGGGAAGTGCAAGATCCTGAGTTTGATTCCCGGTGCCAAAAAAAA